GATGAGAAGCAGCTCGGTCCGGGCAAGAAGGCCAAAACCTTGATTCGGGACATACCCAAAGGCTGCAAAAAGGTGCAAGTACCCAAGGATGGCTCGTGTGTGTTCCACGCATTTGCCGCTGCGCTTAAGCACATACACCCCGACCAGACCCCTCCGCACCATCGGGAGCTGAGGGCAGGCACTGTGACGCACCTTAAACAACATAAGGATAAATATAGTGGACTTTGGGATAAGTGTGACCCTTCGGGCAAGGCCGTCCCTGACTTGACTTACGATTCATACTGCGAGCTCCTTGGGGGCGAATCGGCCTATGCGTCGGACTTAGAAATGCGGGCACTGTCGAGAAGCTGGGGGATCAACATTGTTGTGATACCAGCCGACTCATCCCTGGAACCCGAAGCCTTCACTACATCACAAGCCAAGCATACAGCTGCCTTGTGGCTGGAGGACAAACATGTTGACCTGTTGGTGCCTGAGACGGGTACTGCTTACCCAGCAGAGCTGCTTGCGGTACGCTCGGCAGCGTCACTAGGCTTTCGAGCCGGGGGCAAATCCGTTGCATCTGTCTGCTCCAAGCCGGCCACGGTTTGGTCTTTCGCACCTGCCCCTTCGTGGAAAGCTCGCAAGTGCACAAAGGCCCGGACTGAGTGGAGTTCACAGTCGTCACAGGCACCCGCCCAGGCTTTGTCTAAGCCTCCCACCGTGTGGTCCGCCAGCTCAAGTGTTCCTGGCAGTGTTGTCGCTGGGCCTCCCGAGCCGCAGTGCATTGACGACCTAGATGCAGTGTCTGCCAGTGTTGCGTGCAAGCCACCCACAGAGCGCCAAGTGCATTACTGGGGGAGGGCAGGGCTTCAGCTTGATCGCAGTCCAGTTGCCATTTGCTCCTTGTGTCCGTTCCGGGCCGTTGCCAAGTGTGTGGCTACCCGTCAGGCCAAGCTATATGCTCACTACAAGACCCACCATCCAGGGCAGATCCCGTCAGGGGTCCCGCACGGGAAGCGCCAGCCATCCATCATCCAGGCGAAGGCCGGCGACAACTGCCATTGGAGGTGCCCGCTTTGTGATTTCGGCATTGCTGCTAGGGATGCCTTCTCTAAGAGTCTAAGAGTGCCGATGCTGTGACTGCTGATAAGCTTGCCCACAGATGCGCCGCCCATCCGAGGGTACCGTGGGCCAGATTCAAGGCACTCGACCGCAAGAGCACCATCGACAAAGCTGCTGTCACACGCCGTGGCCGTGAGAGTATCAAACGCATCGGTGCTGCCAGGGGAACGCCATTGGAACACTTTCGGCTCTTTTGTTGGCCAAGGGCCACTCCTTCGAAGGTCTTTGCAGCCAGAGGTGGTCTCAGATCATCGTTTGGGTGGCTGTGTCTTGAGTGCAAAACACCATTTCGACAGCAAAGTGATGCGCTGTCCCATGTAAAGCGTGGCCTCTGTGATCGTGCCACGGCAAAGCGCAAAGCCAAGCGCCGAGTTGAGGCTGTTAAGACCCTCACCAAGGCCCATGCCAAGCAAACTCCAGAGGGCCCGGTCAAGAAGCGGGAAAGCCATTTGCTTGAACAGGCCGAGATCATTTTTAATTTGCCGTTTTCGTCCGACTAGCCACTGTCAACATTACTGGCAAAGGTGTGTCGTCTGTTGATGCCATTTGCAATTTCCTTGCGGCAAACGACGTGCACATCTGCACCATTGCTGAGGCTGACATCAATGTTGCATCAGCCCCGGGTTTCCTTCGTGCCTGGAAAGCCCGTGGCTTTTACGCCGCTTTGTCTGTTCCTGAGGACTCCGGCCTGAGTCGAGTTGCCCTGGTCAGCTCCCTGCCTTTTCGACCGTTCCGACTTGCAGAGGGTGTGGGAAACACCAGGTGCGCGGCAGGCATTTTTGAATTTCAAGGAACACCACAGCATGCACAGATCGCTTTTGTGTCCGTTTACGGACAATCAGGACACCAGGCAGCCGCGTCTGCCCAAATTTCGGACATCCTGGCGGCATGCACTGCGGGCCAAGGACCCTTCGTGGTCGCGGGCGACATGAACCTCGAACCGGCAGAGGCCGTCCTGGGCGAAGCCCTTGCAGCAGGGGCCATCCGGTCTTTAGACGACGCCGCGCAGGGCGCTGCCCTACCGCCCACGGGCCCAGGACGCAAGCGGCAAGCGCCGCATAGATCACGGAGTTTGCCACTGGTCACTGGCGGCCAGTGCCGTCTGGCACTTGGAGCCGTCGTTCTCAGATCACCTGTCGGTGGTCTATGAGCTACCTCTTGACACTCCCCAGTTTATGACTATGCCGCCCAGGAGCAAGGTTTGCGATGCATCTTCTGACGACCTTGAGCAGTGGCTCGGTGAGGCTGATTTTGATCCGTTCTGGTTAGCTTTAGCCACGGGGGATGTTGATAAGGGTTGGCAAGAGCTTTCCAATGTGGCCGAGAACTGCCTGTGTCACACGCGATCGGGCGATCATCCCCGGAGTCTGCCCTGGTCGCCTACTGCTGCGGAAGTGCACTCTTGTAAAAGGTTCGAGGGGTCTGCTTCGGTGCGTGTACTATTGAAATTGCAGCGGCAGCTCTCGATGTTGACTAGTAAGCCGGACCAGGCCTTGAGGCGAAAAATCCTTAAGTCCCTACCCCGTGCCCGAGCCATCGTGCCTGACCTTCCGTGGACCCATGAGTGGGATCTTGAAAAACTCCTCGGGCCTGTCGGGGAGTTGCTTGGGACCTTTCAAGAGCAAGAAACTTCTGCAATTCGGACTAGATGGAAGGCAATGCAGAGGGAAGACACTGCCCGCCAGCGTGCGTTTGTCAAATCCAGGGCCGATGCCCAGCTTGAGTTTGAAAAACGCTGCCCAAGCCAGGCGGAGGCACAAGCCGCTGGCCCTGTGCATCCATCCAAGGTAGTACGAGCTCAGGCCCAAGCTTGGCTTTGCAAGTGGGAGTCCGAACCTGAACCTAAACTTGGCTGTTGAGCCCACACACGTTGAAGTTCAGTTTGACCCAGGCGCGCTCAGGGCCATTGCTGCTTCTTTTTCGAATAAGGCTGCAGGGCCTGACTGCTGGCGTGCAAAGGACGTAGCACGACTGCCCAACCGGTGGTGGCACGCGGCCGCTCAACTGTGGCAGCATGTGTGGGATCGGGGCCAAGTGCCAAAGCTTTGGAGGTTCGCCAAGGTCACCTTGATCCGCAAGCGAGGCGGGCCCAAAACCCGTCCCATTACTCTCACTCAGGTAATTTGGCGAGTTGGGACCAAGCACATTGCACGTGCACTCCGTCCCTGGACCCTCAAATGGGCTTCTTCCAGCGACCACGGTGGCCTTCCGGGCCGCTCCACTTCGGACGTCTTGTTTCAGCTCCAGGCTGCAATCAAGCGGGGTGTCAACACTGCAGCATTGATGGACGTTGCTGGGTACTTTGATTCCCTGAATGTGCCGGCCATAGGCAGAGTATTCAATCGATTAGGTGCACCGCCCCAGTTGTTGCCACTCCTTGAGTCGTTTTATTCTGATGCCAAGCGGTATTTTAACTTCGAGGGTTCGTATGCCCCGGGTGTTCATCAGGTTCGTTCGGGCTTTGGGCAAGGCTGCCCGCTATCGCCATTAGCGGCGGCAGCCTTATCTCACTGCTGGAGTGAGTATGTCAAAGCTTCTTCCACCAATATCGGTGCACAAATTTTCATGGACGACCGCACCCTCTGGATTGAGCCCCGGGGCTCCCTTCAGGACCTTGATGCCGCTCTGCTCGCAAGTGCAGACTTCGACCAGGCTTTCTCGTTACAGCTTGCGGAGGACAAATGTTTTGTTGCAGCCAAGCATCATACGGAGGCCACTCGCCTCCTCGCTGACAAGTGGCACTTTCTGACTTGTGGATCCCTTGAGCTTTTGGGGGTGTCCTTTGACTTTGGGGGAACTGGGGCTATCCCGAAATTGTCGCTTCGAAAAGCGGTTCTCAGATTGCGCTTGCTTCGGTGGACGCAGGCTGCAACCACTTCCCGAATCATGCTTGTGCGGTCGCTTGTCATGCCTTGTTTGGCATGGGCGGCAGGGTTTGCCAAACCGAGTGCCAAGGATGTCCAAGCCGTGCAGCACGAGGTTCGCTTCTTGTTTAGCTCGGGGTACGGTGGGGATGTGGCCACGGTTGCCTTTTACGAGTTGCTAGGATGGGGGTTAGAACCTTCTTTCGCCCTCGACCTGGGCCTGTGCCGACTGTTTTGGCGATGGGTCTCTAAGCCGCCGGTATGGCTGGAAGAAGTCCCGATTGGACACTGCCCAGGGCGTTGGCATGCGCAACTTCCTGAGACTGAGAGCCTGCTGGCTCGCACGGGCTGGTGGTTCTCTCGCGACGCCACTGCTTTGTGCAGAAGGGATGCTGCTGGAGCCCTCAGAACTGTTCACATCGGCTTTGAAAGTTTTCGCATCGTCCAGGATTGGCTTGAAGGGTTCTACCGTCAACAATACCTCAGCCGTTGCCGAAGAGTGTCCCAGAGCATGCACAGGGTACTTGAGGATGGTGTCGCTCGTGGTCTCGAGCTGCCGGCACCTCCGCGGGGCTTTCGAATCCGACTGCAAGGCCACAAACGAGTTCTCGCTGACAGATCGTCGCTTTTCCATCGTAGAGCGGCCTTTCTTTCAGGTGGCACCACGTGGCACTTCGAGAAAAGTGTGGGGCGTCGCCGTGACCAGCTGCACCTCCGGTGCCTGTGCGGGGCACTGCGACCGAGCCGTGCTCACTTGCTTTGGGTGTGCCCCTCCACTGCCGACCTCAGGAGTGGCCTCGATGGCCCCAAGCACCGGGGCGAGGAGCGGTTATTGGCCAAACACCTCGACGAGCCTCCGCTTCCACCGCCCGCTGTGGATGCTGAGGGGCTGATTGACGAAGCGGCTGAAGCCATTCAGACCGAGCTGCAGGAGTCCACGTCCATTGCGATTGCGACCGATGGTTCTGCAAAGGACGGCGTGGCGGCCCATGCGGTCGTTGTGCATCGATGTGCCAAAGCGTTCGCTGGTGGCAACAGTTGTGAAGACCAGTCTTCGTTTCGAGCCGAGCTATGCGCTCTACTCCTGGCCCTTAAAGCTGTGGTTGTGGCCGCTTCGCGTGGAGCCAGGGGGAGCATCACGATAGCTGTTGACTGTTCAGCGGCCCTTCAGGCTCGCTTTTCGTGTCCCTCTCTCCCATTGTTTTCTGTTCATTTCCAGCAGCTTTCTGCCGAGATCCGCTGCTTTGGAATTGATCTTCATTTCATGTGGGTTCCGGCACACAATCGCAAGGCGTCATGGACCCCAACACACTCTTCTTTCAGCGCTGCCTTCTTGAGATCCTTGAATGATGCCGCCGACCGTGCTGCCAAGGACTGTGTCGCTAGGCGGCTCAAAGGGTCTCTTAGAGAAAAATGGGTGGCCGAGGCTACTCGTGTTAAAGTTTGGGAGGAGGCTGCGGTCAAAGCTTCGGCCAAGGCTGCAGAAAGGCTCCACTGCTTCCTTGAACGTCTTCCTCGAGCTGGAACTGACACTGTTTGCGACACCAGTCCTCCCCCGGGGGCTGGTCCTTAAGGTTTAGGCCCGGGTTTTCCCACCCTCTTGTGTGCTGGCACTTTCGTGCCCGGAGCTGCTGTGTGCTGAGCCGTGGGCTCCAGTAGCCTCTGAAACTTGAGCGGTGGTTTGACCGACCACTCTTCGAGTAACCTACCGTGACTCTCTTCTGTCTCCCCTCGAGCTTCAAGCCGGGCTGCTCGCCGCTGCGTGGCTGGTGGCGCTTCTGGTGCTGCCTTTGTGCTGCTGGGGCGAGTGGCCTGTGCTGCTGCTGCGGCGCTGCGTGGTGCTGCTGGCTGCTGAAGCGAGGTGGACTGAGCTCACACAACGCCGTCGCGACTGACCCGCCGTGTACAGTTTTACGGTAGAGCACGCCCTCTTTGCTGCTGCTGCACTAGCCGTAGAAGACTGTTGAGCTTGCTGCTCATCTTTATGTGTGCTCACGAGTTCCCTCTGTACACCCTGAACTCCGTAGCCACATGTTTGCAAGTCGTAGGCTCCCGAGGCCACTTGTAAAAGTAGCATTGGAGCTTTCCTCACCCGAGTGCCAAAGCTTCTCACGTCGGACCTCTGGCTACCGTGCGAGCTGGCATCCTGTATAGCTTTTGTTTTCGAGACTCGCAACCCCTGCAGTACAGTGTCGGCGGTTCTTGTTTCTTCAAGAGTGAAGCTTGACACGTCGTTCACGTTCGCGAGAGCGGCGCGAGAACTCAACAAGCAAAAAAAAAAGAGGCACTTGTGAAGAAGGCTATGACGACCAAGTATCCTTCCATGCTAATTTTAATGGAGGTAGCGGAAGAGCTATCCCAGAAGAACTGTGAGCTACAGCTCCAGTGGATACGGAGAGACATCAACCAGCTAGCGGACGATCTCACCAATGAAGAATTTAAGGAGTTCGACCCCGATCAGAGGATAGATCTGAAAGGGGAGGACTTCAAGTGGCGAGTCCTGGGCCGGCTACTCGCGCATGCAGATAGCTTCTACAAGGAGCTAGGCACGCGAAAGCGAGGGACCCCGGATAGGGTGTCGAAGTTTAGCCGAAAGGCCCGGAAGCTAGATCCCTGGTAGCCTGAGTGGCGATGCGTGGGGATGGATAGCCGAAGGCTATCGGATCTCCAGGCAACCTGGGATAGTTGCCACTCCAGATAAAAAGTCCGTCCGTGCTAGCTGAGTGCGTTGCTCCCATTCGGTCGTCGCTCGGCTAGCTCGCAAGCTAACTACTTACTACCACTATTGTCCCGGAGGTGTTCTGGGGATGGTGGTGGGATATAGGAGCTAGTGCACGTACCTCGTGACGAGGAACGAGTTACGACTATGTGTGCTAGCTAACCTATTACTACTCGAAGCTATCGAAGGTAGCTTCGCTAGAAACGAAGTTTCGTTCGCTATCGTCGTTCGCAGGAGAGTTGCCTCTGACATGCGAAGACAGGATAGCTGTGACTTGGAATGGCTACGAAAGTGTGTGTGACCGTGGCCATTCTGGATAAAGTCCCTCATCAGGGGGGTAAATTTGAAGTACCCGCCCTACCCACCCTGGGGATGGATAGCCGAAGGCTATCGGATCTCCAGGCAACCTGGGATAGTTGCCACTCCAGATAAAAAGTCCGTCCGTGCTAGCTGAGTGCGTTGCTCCCATTCGGTCGTCGCTCGGCTAGCTCGCAAGCTAACTACTTACTACCACTATTGTCCCGGAGGTGTTCTGGGGATGGTGGTGGGATATAGGAGCTAGTGCACCAACCCGCACTTTACCTTAGTCCCCACCTCAGGCATGCTTTCGAACACCCGCCAGTGCTTCGCCGACCGGAGGAAGAGTGGGTGGACGTTCCGCCCGCGAGATTGCATTGCACTAAGGACGAGTTGTTAAAACTTGCAGAGCGCTGGGATAAATTAGGTTCGGTTGTAATCTCGCCCGCCTCTGGTTTGGAATGGAGTGAGACAGTGGGCTTGTTTGCCGTAGGAAAGTCAGCAACGCACGACCGATTGATTATAAATCCTCGAGTCGGCAATGCCAGGTCTTATTCCATTTCGGAATTCTCAAAAACATTGGCACCGGGATCACTCCTGGCGCTGCTTTCGTTGCAGCCGGATCAGTGCTTCAGGTTTTCCGCTGATGTTAAACATCTTGCCAGGAACAGTAACACCGCTAGTGCAGTGTAGTTAATGTAAAGGAACAGCCGTCACGCACACGCGACGTGCAGGCTCGAGACTACCAGGACACACTCCGCAGTCCAGGAAAAGTGTCCGCCTTTGTGAGTGAGTAGGAAAGCTTAGTGAAGCCCGTTCTTTAACATGGTAGCGGAGCTGCCTCCAGGAACCTTGGCAGCGATGATGCTACTCATCATAGGAACGACCATGGCTGCACTCATGGTTTGCGCAGCTCGTGCCCTGTGGACGCTTTGGACACAGGAAGAACAGGAACACAAAGTTCGTGGCATAGAGCACCTGCCGGACTTGGTGATCGCTCCGAAGAGAGGAAGAAAGTACCACAGGAACACTTGCCCTCACGTGACAGCGAACTCAGATTCAAGGAACTATGAACCGTGCGGTGTTTGTTTCCCGGAGAAGTACAGCTACCAGGAAACGGTGATCAAGAAGGTCAAGTGTCGCTTCACAGCGCCGGCAGTGACTCTGCTGTGCGGGATGACCCTGGGAAGCCTCGCAACGTTTTGCGGGATGATGATGATCCCAGGAACAGTGGAAGAGCGACAGGCCCTCGGCGACTACAGGAACCACAAGGTCGAAGAGGAACTTGCCCTTGGAGAAGAAGAAGCCTCTAAGGATGTGACCCAGAAAGAGAGGACAAGGAAAACGAGACGAAAGGTACAAGTGGAGAGCGACGAGACCGAGCTGTTGGCAACCTGGGTGAGCAGGTCGAGAGAGCCCAATACGCACCAGACACGTTACAGGAACTACGACGTGTACGACGAGTACTACCAGGAAGGCTACAACGTGTGCAGCGTGAACCTCGACGGCACCAACGTGAACACGATCAGGAACACGAACGCGTACACGATTAAGGACTATGTGGAGATCGGAAAAGCCATGATACCGTACACCCTTTTGTGTGCGAGTCAAGTGATGCACGAGCTCTACAGCGTCGTTGGCGTGACCGGCGAGTACTACACGGAAGAGAACAGGAACGGCGACCAGAACACCGAGAACCAGGAGAGTGAGAGCCTCGAGTCAGGCTACGCCCCTAGGTACCGAGTAAAACAACAGCGAGAAGTACTGAGAAAGGTTGTACAGGAACATGTTCAAAGTTTCGTAGAAAAGCTAGCTAGCAAAAGTAGGAAAGAAGTTTCACGACGTCGTGCATGTGATAGTTCAGGAAGTCATTTCCAACAGAGTTGTATTTCAAGGAATTCGCATAGCAGTGTTCTTAGGAACCCCAGTGGGACTGATTACTTGGATCACCCTGTCGTACTATTCCAGTTTGTTTTTCACAAGAGCAAGCAGAAGCTCAAAGCACCAAAGGAAAACAAGAGGAGAAAGGAGAGCACAAGCAGTGAACAGGAAGCAGTGCAAGTCACTACTTCTAGCAGCACTAGTGTACAGCAACCTTGAAGCAGCAAAAGGAATGGAGGATGCATTGAAAGCGCTTGCAGAGATCAATGCACAGACCTTACAAGGAATACAGACACTAGCAGAGGAAATCAGGAGCTCAGCAGCTTCAGGAAGCCAAAGAGAAGCAGGACTTACACAAGCGTTTCAGGAAACACTTACAGCAGTGCAGGAACAACAGAAAGCAGCACAGACAGCGTTGGCAGACGATCACACAAACGCAGCAACAACACTTGAGGAGATAGGAGCATCTCTGGAGAAGGCAGTAAAGGAACAACGGAAGCCTGGAGAAGTGGAGTTGCACAAGCTAATCAAAAGCCCTGAAGCGTTTTCCCCAGGAACATGGCAAGAAGAGAAGAGTGGCTGAGTTCAGGAACAGGATGCGGATCTGGCTTGGAGCAGTGGATTCCAACATGGTGAAGATCATGGACAAGGAACCTCAAAGACGATAAGATGATAAAGATGAGTGACATGTCTTCAGAAGCAAAGGAAGCTAGCCGCCGCCTGTACAGTGTTCTTTGTTCATATACCAAAGGAATGCCTTACCGTGTTGTAAAGCACGTAGGAGAGGAAAACGGTATGGAAGCCTACCGTATGTTGATGAAGGAATACCAACCAACGAATCGTGCAAGATCGTTGGAACTGTTTCACAACATCCTCAACTACAGGTTTGCTCACAACAAAGGAATTGCTGAGAACATCCTCGAATACGAGGAGCATATCGAGAAGTACGAGAAGGCGACAGGAGAAAAGGTGCAAGAAAACTTGAAAGTCTCTACTCTTATTCAAGGAATGAAGCCTGATGTTAAAAGGCACCTGTTGCTCAATCTTGACGAGAAGACACAGTACACCGCTCTGCGTCAGTACCTTGTGAACTACGAGTCAACCGAACGTTGGACTAACTCTTTGTCAGCCCAGCAAGGAACACCTCACCGAACCACGACAGACTTGATCGACAAAGGTGATGACCATGGTGGTCTTGCAGCAATGGACATCAATCAAGCATGGTACAAAGGTAAGAAAGGCTATGGCAAAGGTTATGTTCACAACAAAGGCAAAGGCAAAGGTAAAGGCAAGAAAGGTGGAAAGGATTTCGGAAAAGGTTTCGGATTCGACGGTAAAGGCAAAGGTAAAGGAAAAGGTTTTGGAGGTTTTGGCAAAGGTAGAGGTCGAGGCAACTGGAGAGGTCGAGGTAGAGGTTTCAGAGGCTACAAAGGAAAAGGCAAAGGTCGAGGAAAAGGCTTCTACAGGCACAAAGGAAAAGGTAAAGGAAAAGCCCAAGCAGGTACAGGAGTTTGTCACTACTGTCAGAAGTACGGACACTTTGAAGCGCAGTGTAGACAGAAGCAGCGTGACATGGGTTACCAAGCAAGGAACGTAGACCTAGAGAACCAAAGTGAACAGGCAAGCACCACAGGTACCTCTACTCAGGCCCCTTCTTCAAGCAACAAGACCTCAAC